CCCTAAACCCTACCTAGACCCCAACGAACCTAGATTTTTACGGACTGAGATAAGGAAGTCATATTGAGGAACCCTAAAAGAGGTAGGTTCTTAGGGGTCCAGGTAATCCATAGTCACCAGGTCACGGGTCTTTCAGGCAGGATTTGGCGTGGGAGGCCCTTGATTCGGGATTTCGGGCGCCCCGTAAACCCCTAAACCCTAAACCGACTTCTGGCAAAGCTTCCTTCAACTTTAGAGCTCCGGCTCAGCTCACGTCCCGCGATCCGAGACCCTGCAACCTAAACCCTAAACCCTAAACCCCTAAACCCTAAACCCTAAACCCTAAGTCTACTCTGTGCCTAAAAGCTTAGACTATGAGCCCCAAAACTCTAAATTGAACCTCTCTACCTGTGAAAAACAGCGAAAGCCTTAAGGAGGTAGGATTTCGACGCAACGTTACCTTCTAATGAGGAGGTATGTATATATATATATATAAAAGCAGACTGTTAGTGCTTTTGCTGTGTGCACTGCTCTGGGAGTGCTTTTGCAATCTCTTCCTGAGCTTCGTGGTTCTACGACGGCTGTCGCAGGGGTTTTAAGAAAGGTTCGACGTGATTTTGCCGTCCCATCGGTTTCGGGTTTAGGGTTTATAGGGTTTAGGTTAAGAAAGGTTTGAGGTGATTTTGCCGTCCCATCTTGCTGAACATATGGTACTTGGATCATTGGCTCTCTGTCAGACAGGGGAGGTTCGTGCGCCGTATCAGTTCCGTCATGCAATACTGACTGACTTGGCAATGCACAGTTTGTCAGCACTTCATGAGCGAGCCTCCACTTCCTTACATGTATTTGAGAGCATCATGCACCTGAAGCACACGATTTGGTTGTAATAACTCCGCGCCGTGCCCCGTAGCTTTTCGGAGACATTTCCTCTCGGACCCCTTACACCGGCCCTAAACCCTAAACCCTAAACCCTAAACCCACTGAAAGCTTCGGAATTCAACTGCCTTGATGTCCGGGTAAGGTCACACGAGGCTATCCCGGACTATGTGCCGACGCGGGCTCCTCACTTCGCTGTTGCCTAATTGGGGGTTTAGGGTTTAGGGCTTAGGGGTTTTAGGGTTTTAGGGTTTGTAGGTTCATGTGAGCTTAGGAACGAAGTTACCACAGAGGTCTGCTCAACCATCCCGCCTGCTTGAGCCGTAGATGAGCTGTAAGTTGGGACGCTTTTTTTTGCAGACCCTGTGCATGCGGCCCATGGTGATGGTTAGGCGTTTAGGGATTTAGGGTTTAAGTGTCTAATAAACCCTAAACCACCCTAAGGTTTTGGGGGTTTGAAGGTTTAGGGGTTCAGAGACCCATCTAAAACTCGAGATGTGCATTGAAAGCTGAAGAGGGCATCCGGGCTCAGCGTAGCATAGGGGTCGGAAAAACTAGTGACTAGTGTTGTTATCCCCGTATAGTCCGTAACGAAGAGATACCCCAAAACCTTATTAAAAACCCTAAACCCTAAACCCTGATTATTAAGCAGCACCCCCCAAGTACCCTTTAATGGAGCCCTTATGGTCCGTAATAGTGGGTATATAGGGTTTATTAGAGGGTAGTTGGGGTCCTCGGGAAGGCGGGTTTCGGGTTTAAGGGTTCAGGGTTTAGGGTTTAAGGGTTTAGGATTTAGGGTTTAAGGGCTTGGGGTTTAGGGTATCCTACAAGTGCTGAACAAAGTTAAACTTGTTCCAACCAGCTACGCGATGCTTTCTCCGGAACGTTTACCGCATCCAGCAGGACATAACATGTGCACAAGCAAGGCACCAAACGGCAATCGGTGTGCTGCACGAGGTCTTCACACGGGCTCTGCGTATAGCACTGTAAATCTTGATCAAGGGGTTTGGCTTCGGGGCAAGTTCAGGAACACTACATCCTAACACAAC